ATAAAAATATTATAAAAAATAAAAATATTATAAAAAATAAAAATATTATAAAAAATAAAAATATTATAAAAAATAAAAATATTATAAAAAATAAAGAGATAATTTATACATTGCAGATGCGATGTGTCGCATCTTAAAATCAGATATAACATAAAACCAAAACAATTAAAATAATCTATTTTTCATTAGTTTAGGGTTAGTGTAGAGTAAAGATTGTATATACAGTCGAAGAAAAGTTTTATAGTAAAATTTTACAAAGAATTTTTTTTGTTAAAATCCAAAGAGTAGTTTTATATGCTCAATTTTAAATTATTGATGATTTTTGACAAAACGAACATTTGTTTTGAATTTTTTGCTTATATAACATTACACCTGATCTTGAATGAAATTCAATTGAAAAAGCGACATATAAAGCGCATCGCATGACATGATAAATAAATTTACTCAAAAATAAAAATATTATAAAAAAACAAAAAGGTTTATTATATTATTTAAGTACATTTTAACAAAATTATAAACATTATTAAAAAATTAATGTTTTCTCTAATGAACATTAAATATTTTTTGAGAACATTAATTATTTAAATTAAGTTCATTTGAGAACATTATTTTAAATTTGAATATTAAATATTGGATATAAGTACATTATCTATACTTCAAAAATTCAAAAAATATTATTATTCATTAAGAGTTTTATACATTAACGTTATTTAAACTGAAAAATTTTTTTGAATTAATTTTTGTTTATCTAAGCCAAAACCAATTCCAACTAAATAATTTTGTGTTGAACCGTATTTTTGTTTAATATGTTTTAACGTGTCTCTCATTGTCTAAATAAAGAAATAGTATGAATAAAGAATTAATCTTAAAATTCAAGAAACAAAATGACCTACTTCAGGAGGTGTGGAAGCAAACTCTTCGGGTAATCCAAGTTCTTTTAAATCATCGACCATTTCAGCATTTATACTGGCTAAACTAATTTGAGAAAACGAATAATCTTGAATAATTGCTTCTTCATCGACACCACAGATAGAAAGAACGAGGGCTATTATTTCAAAAATAAAGAACGTTATCAAAATTTGAATAGAAGTAAAAAAAAGTAAAGGATATAAAAAAAATTACCAACTATTACACCAGTACGATCTTTTCCATGCTTGCAATGAATCAAAACTGGTAAATTTGCTTCGTCTGTCATGAGTTCAAGAACCTTTATTTTTTGTTTTATGAAATTAAATTAAATATCAATAAATATCTAGTCAACAATATCAACGTATGTACACATACCTTACAAATTTGATCATCAGAGGAATCCAACATATCCGTATACAATCCAGTTAATCCTCTTGGAACCAAACGAAAAGACATTGTTCTTACAGCCTTCATTTTTTGACAAGTGGCAAAATATCCAACTATTTTTCTGGAACGAAAGGGCACTGAACATAAAAATTTCAATGGAAAAAAAGGCAGTTGGAAGAAATTTTAGACTTACAATTTGTCATAAAAAGGAGCGGAAGAAAGATAATTTCTGCGAAGCTTCTTTCCCATTAAACTAATATTGACGGTCTTTCTAATTGTGCGGTTTTTATCATCTTTATACTAAAAAAATTAGAATTACGTTACATGTTTTTGTTTTTAAGATCAACGTTATGCATCAAGAAGGTAACTATATGCATTATTGAGTAGTAAGCATTTAGGTTACTCTCTTGATGTATAATGTTTGAGTATAATGAAATTGTAGGCAGAACCTGTAAACTTTTTCATCAGGATTATTTTAATCAAAATCCGAATTACTTTAATGAAAGTTTTTTTTTTTTTTTTTTACCTTGAAAGGGTATTTAACCGTCGGAAAAGTTGTTGCTAATGAAGATTCTTGGGATTCATATCCTCTGAATTTTAAATGAGAAAATATAAATGTTAATTTATGCTTAAGCTTAGTTCTTTGCAAACAAGATTAAAAATATGAACCTAGCTCTCAAGTCAATAATTGTATGAATATCAAATTTTAATAGTAGTTTGATGTCTTCTTCAGTCGCTTTATCTTATATACGAATAATAATAATAGATAAATAAATTTAAAAACCGATACAGTTATCCAATATATAAAAGCGAGGAATAAATACCTGGTTGTGCACTACGAAATAACAAGCCTTTCTTTATTACCCTTTTAAACAAAAAAATGAAATGGATCAGATATGCAAGATATTGACAAAAGAATTTGATATATAACATTTACCCGGTGTTATTTTTATCATTAACACAATCAAATTCTCCAACATCACGAAAATTTAAAATTGATTTCATCATTTATTATATTATATGAAATAACAATTATTTATTAGTGTTAGAGAAGGTTTTTTTAAAACGTTGAATATTTTTATTTTAGGGCACCAACTACTGATTATTTAACCAAATTTTGAAATTTGACTATGGTGTTTAACACTTATAATGCACTTTAGTAGATTTGAAGAACAATTAATTAACTTAATATAATAAAACTACGAATCGAGTTGGGAAATAATTTAGGCATTTCACAATTAATTAACCGACATCACTTAGGGTATTTTGTTGGTTTCCGTTTTGGCATATATGATAAAATGATTGTCGGTAAACACGATCATCTTAGTGTTGGAAGTTGACCTGAATGAGTACATATAATTCGTTTAACGGACAACTAAAACCAGAAGAGTCGTTTAAAATTCCGGTACCAAATTATTATGAAATAATAGAATGAGACACTATTATTACTAAATCTTTTCCGACGATGGGACTTCTCAAATTAGCAATAATAATAACGATACACGATAGTAATATTATCCAAATTGGTAATAATTATGGTTACACATACATTTACGTATATATTTAGAGATCCCATCATTAGTAATCGGACTTACCTCTTATGGCAATTATCGCCCGGCACTTGCTTTCTACGTAAAATTTCTTATATAACTGTGCAATAGTTATTCATCGATCCAGAAATTATGTTGATATAACACTAGTCGATCTACAGTTGCGATCATATGTTTGAATCACTCGGAATCACTCGTATTGCGGATAGAAAAGGTAATATTTCATGACTTACGCATATGTTATCTCCAATATGCGCATGTGCAGTTATTTTTGTAAAAAATTTATGTGAGTATGCAAGTAAAAATTATATTTGTGCAAGCAAAATAATTTTTTTACTTGCAACTGTGCAAGTGAAAGAATTTTTTTACTTGCAATTGTGCAAGTAATTTTTATTCTGAATTTCAAGCACAGGTTATCTCTGCTGGTGATACAAATCAAAGGAAAGCATAACGTAATAATAAAGATTTTAATTGAGACTTAGAACATTAAGGTTAAGGTCGATTTTATTAAGTTCTCATACATAAGGTGTCATTTGTAATTAGTGCTAAAATACAGATTTAAAAACTCGGTTTTTCTTTTTTTCGCTTTGCGCATTCGGGATGTGCATTTATTTTCTTTCTTTTTTTTGGGTTTACTAGTTAATAAGTAATAGATTCCTGTGTTGGCCTATGACCTGTTATGATCTATTTACTAATTATAGATTATGGCCTTATGATTTATAACATTACTATTACACCATGATCATCTTGATCATACGTATAAAATTGAATATGGCCTAAATTGGATATGACATAAAATCGCTCCATAGTTTCCGGGACAAGGAAATTGTGATTTAATATTATTAAACAAAATCACACTAAATCATAATTTTGTTTCACTTATATTACATTAGTATCACGTGCATTCGTTTTAAATTTTTAGTACCGTAATAACGTTCTATATAGCATATTTTTAAAGTATAAAATAAATAAATTCTTTAAAATCAAAAAGAAAATTTTGATACTTTTATTCGTGCTTTTAATTTTAATCATCAGTAAACATAATATTTTACACATAATTTGCGAATTTCGTCCCTGCTTCCGATTAAAATTTTTGCTGATGACATAATGCCGCGGAATAATTACAATATTTTCATGGCATTACATCATCATAAAATAATATCAGAAGCATTCACGGGTGAACATTAAGGCTATGGATAGCGATATTATCAAAACTATTTGAGATGTCCCAAATAGCTCGCTAGCCGTGTATACATGTCGCAGATCAGGAGTTTACTAATTTCTCCCCCCCTTCACTATCGGAATACTATAAAATTGATTTATAAATTCCGATATGTAAATAATTAGTAGAACCAATCAGAAATGGGGGAAGAAATTAGTAAACTCGCAGATCAGAACTGAATTCAGTAAATAACAAATAATAAAACTTAAAAGCCCGTGGTCTGGTTTTTCTTGGCCTCACTCGATAAACAGTCCTAGCATCGCCCATAAAAAAAATACAGCTGACTCCATACCTTCAATTGTATACCGGGTTGGTGAAAAGTAACTGAACAGTGACCTTTCTTAAACTATTGATTATCACTTAACGTTTATACCAGCATTACGTAGATCTAATAAATAATTGCATCCCTTGAATGTGTGCTAGGTTTGTGGCTCAGCCAGCCACAGCCGCAATTAAAATCACATGACTACGCTAGTTT